GTAATTTCCTATCCAAAAGTAGCTTGTCCATCTGTAGGGCAGTGTCCATCTACTCAGTAGCTTACCCTATCTTTAAAAAAATTGGGTTTATAGAATGACATTAAAAGACTATCTTGTAGTTGAGGAAAATTTCTACGAAAAAACGTTCAGAGTATTTTCGTTGAAAAAACTTTTGAATTTTTCCGTCCTCGCAAGGAAGTTTCGTTATATTTCCAACAGATGTTTGAGTGGAAAAAAGTAGATTTTGTTTCTTTTACATGACTCATTCCCTTAAAAAATTTTCAGTTGTAATTCAGGGGCATAAATTCTCTATTTTTTGCATTGTGTGACACACAGCCTGTCATTTCCGAAGAAAAACTCACAATGAAAGAATTCGTTGACTATTTTCGATCATACAATTTACTATAAAAAACGTCAAGAAAATTTACACAATGTCTAATAAAATCCTAACTAATGAAATCAATAAAATGTGTAAGAATTATTTTGCAAATATCCCCGAAAAAATCGGGTCTGTAGAATGACATTAAAAGACTGTTTTGTAGTTAAGGAAAATTTTCAAACTTTTGAACATTTGTGTCCTCACAAGGAAGTTTCGTTAGATTTCCAACAGACGTTTGAGTGGAAAAAAAGTAGATTTTGCTTCTTTTACATGACTCATTCCCTTAAAAATTTTTCGGTCGTAATTCAGGGACATAAATTCCCTATTTTTTGCATTGTGTGACACAGCCTGTCATTTCCGAAGAAAAACAATGAAAGAATTCGTGTAGGAACATCACCATCTATTGACTATTTTCGATCATACATTTACAATAAAAATCGTAAAAAAAATTGATACAATGTTTAATAAAATCCTAACTAATGAAATCAATAAAATGTGTAATAATTATTTTGCGAATATCCCCAAGAAAATCGGGTTTATAGAATGACATTAAAAGACTATTTTGTAGTTAAGGAAAATTTTCAAACTTTTGAATATTTATGTCCTCACAAGGAAGTCTTGTTACATTTCCAACAGACGTTTGAGTGAAAAATAAGTAGATTTTGCTCCTTTTACATGACTCATTCTCTTAACAATTTTTCGGTCTTAATTCAGGGGCATAAATTCCCTATTTTTTGCATTGTGTGACACACCAGCCTGTCATTTCCGAAGAAAAACTCACAATGGAAGAATTCGTGTAGGAACATCACCATCTATTGACTATTTTCGATCATACAATTTACAATAAAAATCGTAAAAAAAATTGATACAATGTTTAATAAAATCCTAACTAATGAAATCAATAAAATGTGTAACAATTATTTTGCGAATATCCCCAAGAAAATCGGGTTTATAGAATGACATTAAAAGACTATTTTGTAGTTAAGGAAAATTTTCAAACTTTTGAATATTTATGTCCTCACAAGGAAGTCTTGTTACATTTCCAACAGACGTTTGAGTGAAAAATAAGTAGATTTTGCTCCTTTTACATGACTCATTCTCTTAACAATTTTTCGGTCTTAATTCAGGGGCATAAATTCCCTATTTTTTGCATTGTGTGACACACCAGCCTGTCATTTCCGAAGAAAAACTCACAATGGAAGAATTCGTGTAGGAACATCACCATCTATTGACTATTTTCGATCATACAATTTACAATAAAAATCGTAAAAAAAATTGATACAATGTTTAATAAAATCCTAACTAATGAAATCAATAAAATGTGTAATAATTATTTTGCGAATATCCCCAAGAAAATCGGGTTTATAGAATGACATTAAAAGACTATTTTGTAGTTAAGGAAAATTTTCAAACTTTTGAATATTTATGTCCTCACAAGGAAGTCTCGTTAGATTTCCAACAGACGTTTGAGTGGAAAAAAAGTAGATTTTGCTTCTTTTACATAACTCATTCCCTTAAAAATTTTTCGGTCGTAATTCAGGGACATAAATTCCCTATTTTTTGCATTGTGTGACACAGCCTGTCATTTCCGAAGAAAAACTCACAATGAAAGAATTCGTGTAGGAACATCACCATCTATTGACTATTTTCGATCATACAATTTACAATAAAAATCGTAAAAAAAATTGATACAATGTTTAATAAAATCCTAACTAATGAAATCAATAAAATGTGTAATAATTATTTTGCGAATATCCCCAAGAAAATCGGGTTTATAGAATGACATTAAAAGACTATTTTGTAGTTAAGGAAAATTTTCAAACTTTTGAATATTTATGTCCTCACAAGGAAGTCTCGTTAGATTTCCAACAGACGTTTGAGTGGAAAAAAAGTAGATTTTGCTTCTTTTACATAACTCATTCCCTTAAAAATTTTTCGGTCGTAATTCAGGGACATAAATTCCCTATTTTTTGCATTGTGTGACACAGCCTGTCATTTCCGAAGAAAAACTCACAATGAAAGAATTCGTGTAGGAACATCACCATCTATTGACTATTTTCGATCATACAATTTACAATAAAAATCGTAAAAAAAATTGATACAATGTTTAATAAAATCCTAACTAATGAAATCAATAAAATGTGTAATAATTATTTTGCGAATATCCCCAAGAAAATCGGGTTTATAGAATGACATTAAAAGACTATTTTGTAGTTAAGGAAAATTTTCAAACTTTTGAATATTTATGTCCTCACAAGGAAGTCTCGTTACATTTCCAACAGACGTTTGAGTGGAAAAAAAGTAGATTTTGCTTCTTTTACATAACTCATTCCCTTAAAAATTTTTCGGTCGTAATTCAGGGACATAAATTCCCTATTTTTTGCATTGTGTGACACAGCCTGTCATTTCCGAAGAAAAACTCACAATGAAAGAATTCGTGTAGGAACATCACCATCTATTGACTATTTTCGATCATACAATTTACAATAAAAATCGTAAAAAAAATTGATACAATGTTTAATAAAATCCTAACTAATGAAATCAATAAAATGTGTAACAATTATTTTGCGAATATCCCCAAGAAAATCGGGTTTATAGAATGACATTAAAAGACTATTTTGTAGTTAAGGAAAATTTTCAAACTTTTGAATATTTATGTCCTCACAAGGAAGTCTCGTTACATTTCCAACAGACGTTTGAGTGGAAAAAAAGTAGATTTTGCTTCTTTTACATAACTCATTCCCTTAAAAATTTTTCGGTCGTAATTCAGGGACATAAATTCCCTATTTTTTGCATTGTGTGACACAGCCTGTCATTTCCGAAGAAAAACTCACAATGAAAGAATTCGTGTAGGAACATCACCATCTATTGACTATTTTCGATCATACAATTTACAATAGAAACCGTCAAAAAATTCATACAATGTCTAATAAAATCCTAACAGACTTTCAATATAGGTTCAGTAGAATTTTCTATTTTTCATACATAATCCGCGTTACCAGACTTGGTCACAAAATGAGAAACCTGCGAATATCCTCATTCTTTTTTATGCACATTGCCGATAAACTCGTGCCATCCAGTTGCAGTGCACAGAGGGAAATTAAGATAGCGGTGCTAATGACGAGCTTCTGCCTCAGTATGGCTCATCATTCCCCGAAAATCGCATTTTTCTATTGGATCGAGTTATTGGGAACCGATGAATGAGGACAATCAAGGTAACTGACTCACTCTCCAGAAAAAGTGAAATACACTTAGTCCTCCTAAGAATCTCCCCCTCATTCGAACCAGGAAGTCACAATACGTGGAGCGATAAGAGGTGAGGCATTGTGTAGGTATTCCAGTGTGATTTTTAAAACGAAAAATGTTAGAAACGGGAGAATACGACTGCACACGCGTTTGTTTTGTCATAACTGACAAGTATGTCACTTGATGGAAACTCAATGAACATCATCGTCCTTGCGGTTTTCGTCCAGTCGAAAGTAAACATATTTTACACCGGCGTATTGCAATGAGTTTTCTGCATACCGGTACTTCACCCGTTTTATTGCCCAGTCGATATATTCTTTCGTCACCACAAATATGAATATTTATCGTCTTTCCTTGGTTTATTTTCAGCTCAGCGAAATTGTAGGGGACTTGTAAAAAGCGTCTTATTTATTTTGTTCAATTTTTTTTTCATTAACCCTTCGTTACACGGACGAAACAATTTAATAGAAAAACCTATCGAATTCGTTGGAAAATTCTATTGAACTGTTCTATTAGTTTTTGGGCGATTCTATTGAAATATTAAAAAAAAAATAGTCAGTAGAAAAAATCAATAGAATTCACGTTTTCTATATAACTTATTCTATTACGATATTTTCTATAGAATTTCCTCGGCTCAAATTTTCTAAATTTTTTCGTTTGATTTTCTTGATTAGAAAATTTGAGTCGAGCAAATTCTATAGAAAATATATGAAAAGAATAAGTTATATAGAAAAATCGAATTCTGTTGACTTTTTCTATTGAATGTTTTCTATTGAACATGTCAATAGAATCAGCCAAAAACTAATAGAAAGTTTAATAGAAATTCGATAGAATTTTCTAACGAATTCGATAGGTTTTTCTATTTTAGTATATTTCAAGAAAAAAAAAACAAAACTTCGAAAATTTGAGTCGAGGAAATTCTGCAGAAAATATCTCAATAGAATAAGTTATATAGAAAAATCTAAATCTATTGACTTTTTCTATTGAACATTTCAATAGAATCGGCCAAAAACAAATAGAAAATTCAATAGAAATCCAATAGAATTTAATAACAAGTTCGCTATATTTTTCTATTAAATTTCTTAATTTCTTAATTTCTTAGTTTAATCGAATAATACTTTTGGCCTTTCGCAAAGGTATTGTTCAAATCCGGAATGCAAAATGTATCGAGACATTCTGAATAAAGAGTTTGATTTGATTCGAATGCCTCATTTCTCTGGGTATAATCTTAGTGATATATCAATCGTGTTCGTATCATTCAACAGATCCCCGCGATTTCATTCAAACAGATCTTCGTGTCAAGTCGTTGGAATTCGGAGCAGAAACCCAACCGCTACGCGTCGCTCACTACCAAAATGCCCCCGCGCTTGTTATTATTATCAAGTTTACTATCAACACGTACCTGTCAACATCACCGAATGCTTCAATAAGATTGCAAATAAACACACAAGTGTCAATACAATTTTTTTTATTTGAAAATGTCAAAAAATGATCCATCCAAGGATGACGAGGAGTACTGGAACAGCAGTGAAAAGCACTCGTTCAGTTTTGACCAAAATACAGAGGTAATAATCCACGTAATTGATTAATTCCACGTTATTAACAATGAGTAATTGTTAATTACTCACTTGGCTGGCGTCCAAACTCAATTGAAATAGAACTCATGACATGTGAAATTATTTTCAACAGATGGACAATTTATTTGGGATCTCCAAGAGTGGCACAGCTCAATTGAAAGCAGGAATCTCAAACATCGAAGTCGCTGAGACTTATTTCAAGTTTGATAATGTTCCATCAGACTCGAGGCCTTTATTATCGATCATTTCTGAGGCTACTTTGACAGCAAGTGAATATTTACATTCAGTACCTAATTTAGCTATTTCGAAAGAATGAGAAAAATCATCTATTTAATGGAGTTATCTCAGAATTGAGTTATTTCAAGAGAAAATGTCATAAGATATTTTTTATAGGTGAGAAAATTCTCTACAAAAAATGCCTTCTGCTATTTTTAACTAACATCATTAATTGCAGAGATAATGAGACAATTAACAAGTTGATGGGATTATTATTCAATTCACTTACGAACGCTTTGTGGATTATGGAATCGCTAAAACTAGTCGTTTGAAAAAAAAATTATCTCGATGTTTTTTTCATCTTTCGTCATTTGAAATTGTCAATTGAGTCCTGCATCATGCAGAAGTTTTGAAAAATTATGAATGAATAATCAAAAAAAAGTAGAAGAAATTCTTAATTTTTTCAAAGAGCATTTTTAATTCATATATAGAATAAGTTGAATAACAAGAAATTGAAAAATGTATCTGATTTAGGGTGACAAATGGCGGCCTGTCACCCAATACCATGCAGGGGGAAGACTGACTTCGTAAATCTCTTCCCACACTGCACAGAGACATTTATTACGGAAAAGGCTCTTTGAAAAAAGTCGTAATATTTTGGAGAATTTTTTAATCACACTTTTATCACATAAAAATGGCAGATGACTACATACCACTGTTTTGAAAATTGAGATACCTAGCTGTCACTTCCCATGAGGAGTTAGTGTTTTGTTATCCACCATGGAAACTGACAGCTAATAGATAATTTGCCACAGCGAATCAGATCTCATTCTGAATCTCAATTAAAAACGCTTTTTGAAAACGTTCAGAATTTTTTCTATTTTTTTAATCATTCTATCATAATTTTTGTGAATTTCTACATGATGTACCACTCAATTGACAATTTTGGATTACAAAAGATGAAAAAAATCCAGATCTCATTCCAAAGATAGTATACCCGGGCCTTAAGGATTTTTGACACCCTTTTAGCCAAAATTGACGTTGTTTTCATTTTTCTGGCAAATTATCGATGGGAGTGACGTGAAAAAATATAACGATTTTGTGGTTTGTCATTCTTTAATGGCTCACGAAGTTGCGTAGTGGTGCGATAATTTTCATGCGTTTTTTCCCCAGTTTTGTGATTCTTTTTAAAAGTTTAGAGAAAACGCAGGAAAATGTTCGCACCACCTTAAAATTTCGTCAGTCATTAAATAATGACAAAACGCAAAAACGTTATATTTTTTCACGTCAATTCCATCATAAGTTTGCCAGAAAAATTAAAAAAACGTGAATTTCGGCAGAAAGGGTGTAGAACATCCTTAACTTCAGAAATTTAATATGATTATTCACTACAATTGACATACATTTAGCCCCATGGCGTACATTTAGCCACATACGCGCGCGGATTAATCTAGTGAATATAAAAGTTCCAACCAAGGAGTTTCGTCCCGCCCCAACGTGGTAAACCTTTCCCTTTCAGTTCTCGAAGCAGACAAGGTCTACCTCCCCGAGGAAGCCCCAGTGGTGGACCCCACGATAACCCTCCGGAGGATTCTCCTGGGCCAGCCCTTCTCCCTCGAAAAGTACAAGTCCCTCGCCAACAAAACAGCCCTCCTGGACGCAGCGATCACCTCCGGCAATGGCGACGCAATCCTCATAATCGTCCTCTTCATCACCAAGACCCTGAAGCCAGCTCTGGTCCAACGGCTCCTGATGGAGAGGCCCGACGCAATGAACGTCTACGTCCACTACCTCTCGACGCGACTCATGATGAATGAAATCACAGATCTGCTGGCAATGCAGGGGCGGCCCGTCGATGCGGCCATGACGAACCTCAACGTCATCATCAAGAACACGAGGGACGAGACTAGATTACTCCAGAAGCTGATCAAGTGTTACAAGACCCAGTTCATCAACTCCCCGGAGTGCAGGGAGACCCCCTTCGTCCAGAATTACATTAAACTCCTGGAGTGGAAGACAGCGCTGAAGAACACGAAGTTACTTGAGGACTTTGAACCGAATTCCTCAGTTCTCGACTGCTTGAGGTATTCTTGCCGGGAACATTACGGGGCGTCGGAGGGTACCCTTGTAGCACCGGCCATGCTACGTCATCAGCACGAAATTAGCCCCAGGCAGTATCAGAAGGTCGCGCTGGAGTCCAGGGTGGCTGTCAAGGCTTGGGAGGATGTTGACAGTCTGCTGTTATCAAAGGTATTGAATTTCGGGGTCTCGGGGATTATCTCGAGAATGAGTTGTCTCAAGGAAACATGTCCAGAAAGCATTTGGGACGTCAGAACATTTTTTGTTCATTGCAAGGAGTAACACGTATGAAAAAATTCAATAGAAAACCTAGCGAATTCGCTAGAAAATTCTATTGGAATTCTATAGGAATTGTATGGGGTTTTTATAGGATTTCTATTGGAATTCTATTGAAAAATTCTATTTGTTTTTTGCGCTAATTCTGTTGGACACTCAATAAGAAAAAGTCAGTAGATTTCGATTTTCTGTTTGAATTTTTCTCTCAAATTTTTTCTATTAGAATTATTGGGCAAAAAAATTTCTTCTTATCATTTCTTCCTATTACTGGGCAAAAAAATTTTTTTCCGCTGAATTTTATTGTGTTTCGGATTACAGAATCGGAGGGAAAAAAATTGAAAATTGATGCCCAAGGATTCTTATAGAAAAAATTTCAAGAGAAAATTCCAAACAAAAATTCGAAATCTATTGCCTTTTTCTTATCGAATATCCGAATCGAATAGATTCAGCGCAAAAAAAATGAAATTCTCAATAGAATTTTCTAGCGAATTCGCTAGGTTGTCTATTGAATTTTTTCATGAGTGAAATCTTGGAATTTCACGTATAAACAAAATAATTTTTTTAATACGTGATAAAAAAAAATTGTTTTTGATGATTTATAATCATCCTTTCGGCCATTTTTGGTCATAAAACTGCAAAAAACTACTTTTGTAGCTCAATAACAAATTCTACAGTTAATGGGTAAATCTTCATGCGGGCATTTAGTTCCAGGTATTAAGTGTCTAGAAAGTTGTAGTGATAATTCTTGAGAAATTTGTAAATGTTGAAATACAATGGACAAAAATTCAATTTTCCAGCGAGTAATTGCTCTCAGGGGGTAAAAGGAGCTTTTCGAATTGATGATTACTCGAGGGTGTCCGGACCTAATAGGTTCAACCAAAAAAAAGTCAATAGTTATTCTGCAGTCAATAAAATATATCCAAAAGGATTTTTTCCCTAGCCGATTAGGGTATAATTTCCCATCATCTCAACAATGAATAATTCTCCAGGGATGGCTCGGCAGTCAAAAATTACACACAAATCTCCCGATCGAGGACGTCTTGAAGATTCTGAATAAAGGAGAAGCACCAACAGCAGTTCTAGATAAATTCTTGAGATACGTGGACAGTGTGGAGAGGAGATTGCACCTCGCAAAGACGTTTTCCTGTCCCAAGACAGTTATCGAGGTGACAGAAAACATTTTCAATGAATAAAAAGTCCTCTGAAGCCTCGGAAATTTTCTATAATCACTTCTTCTTTTTTTCTTTCAGATTCTAGGAACACAAGGAGATAGAACTTCTCTATTGGAGTATCGAGACACCCTTGTTCCCCAATCAGAAGCCTTTTTCCTTGCTGAACGAACACTCTCGTCTCCCACAATCCGTTGGAAATCGTGAATAAACCAAAGCATAATTTATTTGATCAATTGAATTGGTGAAATGAAATGACTCGATTTTTTAATTATTGGTTTTGCTAAACGTCTTTGAATCTTATTTCGAAGGAAGTCGAATTTTCATAGAGATCTTTTTTGCGAAGAAAAGCAAAAGATAGGGAAAGCAGACAAATAGATAAGCACCGTCTAAAAAATAGACGGTTCCAACATTTTCTGAGTATTCTCTAAATAATATAATAGGAATTATGCTGGTAATTTTAAATTTCAATAATACCACAATTTTAATTTCCTGTTATTGATAAACATTTTGAATGTATCTATCTTCTAATGCAATCGTCTATGTAATGTATGTTTGGGCTGTATTTCAATCTTTTGTGATTTTCTCATTTATTCCCATACTTTATATTACTGCTTTATACATTTTATTAAGTAAAGAACCTATCGCTGACTCACTTGGGTGATTTATCTATTTTTGATGTCTCGACGAAAATCAAATATCCTTTAACCGTTCATCTATTAGTCTTCTTGTCCACCAAAAAGTTCTCTATGAAAATTTACCAGTTTTTACATATTTACAAAAAACTCATTTTTTATTTTCATAAAATTATCTCCTCTCACTTCTTCTCTAAAGCAGGATCGAATAAGAATAAATATTCCGTTATTTTATGAAAATTGCATCTTTATTTCTATATAGAAAATGTAACAAAACGTGATGTTAATAAAGTAATTTTGTCATATAATGAAAAAAAAAATATGGCGATGCATGTAATTAAGATGATACATGAATCCTCTTAAAGAACTCCAGTTTCTTTACATCTATCATCAAAAAAACACTTGAGACTACCTGAGCGTACAAGTGACTGAGTGATTCGTATAAAAAAAATAGAAAAAGAGTAAGCAGAAAAGTGGGGAAACGAGTCGATTCAACTTTGATTTTACCTTTACTGTTCTCTGATCTGGTCCAGTATAAATAGAAGAATTTTCATGACAATCTCTTGTAGTAATCAATCTAGGAAAAATGTTTACAAAAATTGTCTCTATCCTGATCTTGAATGCACTTGGACCATCTATTGTTAAACTTTTTCATACGGACACATCTCTACGAGTTTTTAATCCGTGTAATCCCAACCCATCAAAGAAATTATCCGAATCTCATGTATAGCGAACCTATAGGATTTCACACAGAATAACACCCACGGAAAAGAAGTAGTAGAAAACCCCAGCAAATTGGCTAGAAAATTCTATCAACTGTTTTTTAATTTTTTAAAAATTGTATTCAATTTTCTATTAGTTTTTGGCCGATTCTATTGAAATGTTCAATGGAAAATATTCTATAGAAAGAGCTAATACACCTCGATTTTTCTATTATTCTACTGAGACATTTGTTTCGTTGAGATACTGAGATCAAATTATACTATTGACATATTCTTATAGAATCTCCCCATCTCAAATTTTCCAAGTTTTTTAAATTCTACTTTTCCTTTCTTTTCATCAAGCAAATGAAACAAAAAGAAACTAGGCAAACCAACTTGGAAAGTTTGAACCGAGGAAATTCTGTAGAAAACATCTCAATAGAATAATTTGCGTAGAAAAAATCCAATTCTACTGACTTTTTCTACAGAATATTTTCCATTGAACATCTCAACAGAATCGACCAAAATCTAATAGAAAGTTCAATACCAATCCAATCGAATTGCCCATCCAATTCGCCAGGTTCATCTACTAATTTTTTTCTCACGTGCACCCTACAACACCGGAAAAACAACATCAAAGCAAAAAACCCTCACATCCCCACTTTTCCGTTCGCCACCCCTTACGAGCTCGTCGGTGGTCTGTTCCCCAAATTAGGTGGTGGTTGAGTGACCGGCACTTGATAAGGCACAAACCCCTGAGCCCCCTGAACAGAATACCAGTTCTCCTGTCCCCCAGCAGGAGTAACACCAGAATAAACCCCCGGAGGAGGATAAACATACTGAGTATAAATCGGTGAGATCGGTGGCTGAAAGTTCTCCACCCCAGAGCACACATAATTCCCAGCGCCCTCAGGAGGTTCCTGCGGCTGTGGCAAGAATCCAATCGGATAAAAATTACCACTGGGTGGATAAAACCCCTGTCCCTCACTGGAATAATAAACCTCATTGTAAACAGGCTGCTGATAACTCCCCTGGAACGGCTGACCCCCAGCATGTGGTGATCCCTGAACAGTTCCCTGAACATGTCCTTGAGCACTCCCTGACAGCTGATCAGCCTGAGCCCTCCTGAACGACTGATTATCACCCCTAAAGTTGCCATCCCTCCCCTTCTGATAGTCCTGGAACGAGTTATTCCTCTCGAAATTACGTCCACGATTATCATTGCCCTTCTTGTTGCTGTTGTTATTATTAAATCGATTTCCATTCTTCCTCTGGTCCCTCATGTCCCTCTGCTCCCTGACCTCCTTCTCCTCCCCCCCAAAACCCTTTCCCTTCTGATACTCGTAAGAGGTATTACCTCCATTATCTCTCTGAAAGCATCCCTGATCCTTGCGAGGATAATTACCCCTGAAACTCCCACGACTCTCCGAGCTCATCCCCGAGTTCCTTCCAGAGCTCCTCTGATCACTCACCTGATCGTTCCTCCTCTTCCCCTGGTAGCCCGCCCTCACTGCATCCTCCTCCCTCCTCGGGGGTGTCTGAATGCTCTGAGGGGCCTCAGCAGCAACAACAGGCGACACCATTGGCACAACATTACTTGGTGGCACATAACTCATAGGTCCTGATGATGCAAAAGGCACTGGTCCTGGGGGCCACATGTTTCCACATCTGAAGAATTCAATTCCAAGATTGTAGAAGAATCTCAGTGTCACTGGATCGGAGAAAGGAAGATCACTCCCATTGGCGTCCTTGCTCATAGTTGCAGTGAAATTTACCAGACGATATGGTCGATCCTGTCCTGGGGGCGGTGCATTGTCCTGTCCGTAGTACTGGACTGGATACATCCCCTCGGAGGAGACACACATGACACTTGGGGTTGGAGCGTAGATCGGTGTTAACGAGTGGGATTGAGTGTAGTATGGCTCTTGCTGGGGCGGTATGGGGGAGGGCAGGGTCGTCTGCATTGGGTGCATGAGCCCTGGAGGGGGATTAACAATCTCGTTGACCTGTCCCTGCCCCTGAGGGTGGCCCTGGCCCTGAACTCCCTGAAGCTTCTCGTAATTATCCATTTGGGATATGTTATTGTTATTGATCATTGGATTGTTGTTGTTGGCTGGGGAGATTGAGGGCTTGTTGTTAACCTCATCCGTTTCCATCCTGGGGTCGTTGGGGGTCGCCATCAGGGGCTGGGGATTATCCAGGACTATTGAGACTGGTCGAACCTCCATTGTGTTCACGAAGTTGTTGTTGTGGTAGTTGTCGACTGAGGTGAAGGGCTTCAGGATCACTGTGGGATTCTGGTAGGTGGAGTCCTCCCAATCGGGGTTGGGGGACTTCTTGGGGTCCTGGCAGTCGTTGTTGTTGAGATTGTCCAGGTTGTTGTAGGACTCCTTGGGCTTTCGGGTGGACTGGGTCCATTTGTTTCTGTATTTGGGGGAGTGATCGTGGGGGAGGTTTTTTCGAGGGCTGATTACGCCCAGGGGGAGGTGGGGCTTGCGAGTGGCTAGGAGGGGCTTCAGGGACTTGAAGGGAACCGTCTTTTTCTCACCCAGTTCCTCGATGAAGACCACAACTGGACCATTGTCCTTGCTCATCTCCTGGATGTGACCGATCAGCAGAGCTGGGACTTTTTTTACAGAGTTTGGAGACTCCTGGGGGTTGCCATTTGGATCTGATGTGGGGTGAGTCTTGTTATTGTTGGTCTCGTTGATGTTCTCCTTGTCGTTGTCCAGCTGGACCAGGCATTTGGCTCCGATCTGCAGCTCTGAGTCGTTCCAACGAGTCCAGCCAGTACAGCGAACCTCTTTGCGAAGCTCGTGCCAAATGTCGAAGTCGATGTTTCGGTAGATGTTGGGGTCCAGGGCCTTGGCGATACGGTAGGGGAATGGGGCTTTCTCGGACCTCGGTCTCTGGGGGGACTCGCCGGAGTCCTCGGGGTCCATCTTGGTGCGCAGCTCAGTTGCCAATTGGTCGCGGTTGTCCAGGTTGGTCTTCAGGAAGAACTTGGTGTGCCGCATGTTTGGGGAACGCTCGTGGAGCATGTTCTGGACCACGTCGTCGATACCGGACATGCCGAAGACGTCTTTGTAGAGGGTTTGGTACATTAGAGCTGGGGAAAGAGGGTTTGATGAGAATTTGAGAAATGAAAATTCATTTCCAGGGGAATTGGCTAGTTCGAAGGAAAATGGCGGGATTTTTCTTAATTTTCGTAGTGATCAATTTTTTTTCGTTTTTTTTATGGAGAGATGTGAAATTCTACAACAGCGAGTAGAAAGATATATCAAAGATAAATAGATTTGGGAAAATTTGTTGAGAGATTTTTCATAAAAAATTTAATGGGCTACGAAATATCACTTGACATTTACCTGTGCATCCACTTGTTTTAGACAATAAATAGAAAATTATGGGGAAGTAAGAGACAAATAGGAAGGAAATTTCCTCAGGGAGATTGATTTCCAGGGGAATTTGTTGATTTGAAGAAGAATGTTGAAATTTGCTTTCATTTTCTTGACCATAAAAATTTTTTTTAGTCATTTTGATGGCGAGATTTAAAATTCTACTTACTTACTTTAATAATTGCACTAAGGATGAGTAGAAAGATATATCAAAGATAAATAGATCTAGGAGAATTTGTTAAGAAATTTTTCATAGAAAATTTTATGGGCTACGAAATATCACTTGACATTCTCCTCTGAATCCACTTGTTTTAGAGACAATGAATAGAAAATTTATTGGAAGAAAGAGACAAATGAGAGGAAAAACTTCTGAGGGAAATTGATTTTCAAACAAGAATATTGAGATTTTCTTTATTTTCTTAGCCATCAAATTTTTTTTAGTCGTTCTGATAGAGAGATTCGACATTCTACTTATTTAACTTCATTAATTTGACTAAGAATGAGTAAAATGAAGATAAATGCGGCTGAGAGAGGGAGATTGATTTTTGCAGGGGAATTCGTTGATTTAAAGAAGAATGTTGAAATTTTTCTCATTAGTTTTGGCCATAATTTTTGTTTAGTTATTAACAGGGAGATTTGACATTCTACTTATTTAACTCTAATAATTTCACTAAGAATGAATCGAAAGATATATCAGAGATAAACAGATTTGGGAGAATTTGTTAAGAGATTTTTCATATAAAATTTCATCGGCTACAAAAAATCACTTGACATTCCCCTCTGAATCCACTTGTTTTAGAGACAATAAATAGAAAATAGATGGGAATGGATGAAAAATTTGAGGGAAAGATGAAGCAAATGAGGAGAAAATATTTACATTGACAGAAAGCTGCGGTGGAGATGACCTCCCTCTCGAAGACGCTCTCAAAAACCTTGGGTCCCATCTGACAAAGGTAAATAAATTTCGTGAATCCATTGTCAGTCGCCTTGTATCGTTCCAGCTTGGAAGCATTGAAGATCATGAAGTCTCGTTTGTAGAGTTGAGCCATTGCCTGCATCTCAACGTTGCCTCCCCATTCAGTGACACAGGAGAGTTGATCCAGGTAATTATCAAGAGGAATTTTCACGTTCTGATAAAGCAAATCAAGGAAAATTAAATCGATGATGAAAAGAACTGTTTCACTACACTTTCTCCTAAAATTTGTGAAGAATCGATGAAAACCATCAAGCATTGTAGCAAAAAATGAGGGAAGACATTGTTTTTATCCTCCAGAATTTTCTAAAAAAATGACAATTGCCTCTAAACCTCTTCATTTCAGAGACATTCGCAAAATCACACGGATGAAAAAATTTAATAGGAGAACCTAGCGAATTCGTTACAAAATTCTATTGAATTTCTATCGAACTTGCTATTAGTTTTTAGCCGATTCTATTGAAATGCTCAATAGAAAAAGTCAACGGAATTCGATTTTTCGATATAACTTATTCTCTGCAAATATTTTCTATCGAATTTCTTCCACTGAAATTTTCCAATTTTCTTTCATTCTATTGTTCTTTTCTTCACATCAAGAAAGTAAAAAAAAAAAACTCTGAAAATTTGAGCCGCGGAAATTCTATAGAAAATATCTCAATAGAATAAATTATGTAGGGGAAAGTCGGGCAAAAAGGAAAGGATTTACGTTTATCAAATAAACAATTTATTATTTTAAAATAAAATTTGTATTAAAGTCGAGAAAACTAGGGGAGAGTCGGGCAAAATGAGACGTTTCGTGATCTTCTCTAGTTGTCAATAGCTTACTTATAAATGAAGATATTAACTATTGGAAAAGATCTCAACATGTGCCATTTTGCCCGACCCTCCCCTAGTTTTATATAGAAAAATCTAATTCGGTTGATTTTTTATGTAGAATAATTTCTACTGAACATTTCAATAGAATCGGCCAAAAACTAGATAAGTCTATCGGTTCAACCGAAATCCGATAGAATTATCTAGCGAATTCGTTAAAAATTTCTATTAAAATTTGTCACACGTGCACTTTTGATTATTTTTAAAGGTTCATAACTCACGAATAAATTTATCAATTGGCTTAGTCTGGATATTGCCCCAGTCGCCCTTAATTCCCTCGTAAATAAGCGATTGTTCCTAAAGTCTCAATGGACAATTTTATTTTATTTCTGATATTTTCCTCCAGACGACTTCATTTCACAAAAGACCCTCGAAATAATCCCCAACCCCGCTCTCGACCTCCCAAAAAATTCCGTCGCCCACATGGTGGAATTCCAATCCGACCGACAATTATTTACCTCTTCAAACAGCTCCTTATTCTGCCTCATAAAAGCCACACACTGCTCTCTAACTTTCAGATGATAATACTGAGTCAAATAAATCTGCTCACTGACTGCCCTGAACAAGCACGTTGCATCGTGAGGTGCATTCTTTCTGAAATATCCCTCAGTCCTCAGCCAGTCGTCGACCGGCTCCGGGGCCCTCTTAGATCCGCTGCGAGGTGAAATGTCCATTTTTCCTACCTCCTGTGAAATAATACCCCTGGATCACGACCCAAAAATATCGAAAAACCCCAAAATTGTGGAGAGTTGGGTAAAACGGTTCACTTTGGATCTTCAATAACTCGAGATCGGTAGAGTGAAATTCAACGATTTTTTTTCACTTTGAAGGTATTTTGTTAAGCTTCAAAATGAAGTCCAATTAATCTAAATAGCGCCATTTGATCAGTATATATCAATCGTTTAACTTCACTCCCTTAAAATAAATTTTAAACAAATAATACCCCTGGATCACGACCCAAAAATATCGAAAAACCCCAAAATTGTGGAGAGTTGGGTAAAACGGTTCACTTTGGATCGTCAATAACTCGAGATCGGTAGAGTGAAATTCAACGATTTTTTTTCACTTTGAAGGTATTTTGTTAAGCCTCAAAATGAAGTCCAATTAATCTAAATCGCGCCATTTGATCAGTACATATCGATCATTTTACTTCACCTCCCTTGAAATAAATTTTAAAAGAATAATACCCCTCGATCACAACCCAAAAATATCGAAAAACCCCAAAATTGTGGAGAGGTGGGTAAAACGGTTCACTTTGGATCGTCAATAACTCGAGATCGGTAGAGGGAAATTCAACGATTTTTTTTTCACTTTGAAGGTATTTTGTTAAGCTTCAAAATGAAGTCCAATTAATCTAAATCGCGCCATTTGATCAGTACATATCGATCATTTTACTTCACCTCCCTTGAAATAAATTTTAAAAGAATAATACCCCTCGATCACAACCCAAAAATATCGAAAAACCTCAAAATTGTGGAGAGGTGGGTAAAACGGTTCAATTTGGATCGTCAATAACTCGAGATCGGTAGAGGGAAATTCAACGATTTTTTTTTCACTTTGAAGGTATTTTGTTAAGCTTCAAAATGAAGTCCAATTAATCTAAATCGCGCCATTTGATCAGTACATATCGATCATTTTACTTCACCTCCCTTGAAATAAATTTTAAAAGAATAATACCCCTCGATCACAACCCAAAAATATCGAAAAACCCCAAAATTGTGGAGAGGTGGGTAAAACGGTTCACTTTGGATCGTCAATAACTCGAGATCGGTAGAGTGAAATTCAACGATTTTTTTTCACTTTGAAGGTATTTTGTTAAGCCTCAAAATGAAGTCCAATTAATCTAAATCGCGCCATTTGATCAGTACATATCGATCATTTTACTTCACCTCCCTTGAAATAAATTTTAAAAGAATAATACCCCTCGATCACAACCCAAAAATATCGAAAAACCCCAAAATTGTGGAGAGGTGGGTAAAACGGTTCAATTTGGATCGTCAATAACTCGAGATCGGTAGAGTGAAATTCAACGATTTTTTTTCACTTTGAAGGTATTTTGTTAAGCCTCAAAATGAAGTCCAATTAATCTAAATCGCGCCATTTGATCAGTACATATCGATCATTTTACTTCACCTCCCTTGAAATAAATTTTAAAAGAATAATACCCCTCGATCACAACCCAAAAATATCGAAAAACCCCAAAATTGTGGAGAGGTGGGTAAAACGGTTCAATTTGGATCGTCAATAACTCGAGATCGGTAGAGTGAAATTCAACGATTTTTTTTCACTTTGAAGGTATTTTGTTAAGCTTCAAAATGAAGTCCAATTAATCTAAATCGCGCCATTTGATCAGTACATATCGATCATTTTACTTCACCTCCCTTGAAATAAATTTTAAAAGAATAATACCCCTCGATCACAACCCAAAAATATCGAAAAACCCCAAAATTGTGGAGAGGTGGGTAAAACGGTTCAATTTGGATCGTCAATAACTCGAGATCGGTAGAGGGAAATTCAACGATTTTTTTTTACTTTGAAGGTATTTTGTTCAGCTTCAAAATGAAGTCCAATTAATCTAAATCGCGTCATTTGATCAGGATATATCGATCATTTTACCTCACCTCCCTCAAAATAAATTTTAAAAGAATAATACCCCTCGATCACAACCCAAAAATATCGAAAAACCTCAAAATTGTGGAGAGGTGGGTGTAAAACGGTTCAATTTGGATCGTCAATAACTCGAGATCGGTAGAGTGAAATTCAACGATTTTTTTTTCACTCTGAAGGTATTTTGTTAAGCTTCAAAATGAAGTCCAATTAATCTAAATCGCGTCATTTGATCGGGACATACCAATCATTTTACCTCGCCTCCCTCAATATTCAAAGAGAAAAAAATCCTCGAAATCTCGACTTTTCCTCTTCCATTGTTCCTTTCCTCCAGCTCTCTTTGTCTCTTATTCGTAATTCATCGAAAAAATATGACGCAATATCGCCATTATTCCGATACCTGGACAGCGTTATTAATTTCTCAATTACACTCACCCCTTCAGTCTAATTATTATCACACGATGGTGTCCAATTTTGATGAAAATCTTTACTCGTGTAAACAGAGTTTTTGTCCGTGCAGTGAAGGACAACCAAACGCACGTACACTAGTTAGAATGACAACAAAGGGAGTGTTGACTGTTTCAAGAGTTTTTGTCGACTGCTTTTCACCGCGTAACGTCTCGGTTGTTTATCGTCGTGCCGGGCAGTCATCCCGGGGAATTCAGCCGTTCGGAGAATTTTGAAGGTTTGTGGTACCAACTTTTAAAAACTTAATTTCATCTCAATGTTTTCACGATTTTTTTTCCATCATTTTTTTCGTTCGGAGAGTGAATACAGTTTTGGTTTTAGTCGACGGTTTTGCTTGAGGCAGTTTTGAGGTAAATAATTGAGAAATTTTTGGGCTCAAGTGGTGAAAGGTGATTGTTTCAATGGTTTTACCATTTTACCGGAATCAGGGGGATGGAGAAATGTAGAGAAATGGTAGTTGATTTCGTGGACTAATGAGATGTCTTTTGAATTAAAAAAAGGAATTTCTGTTGGAGAGAATTCTATGACATAAAATCAGGCAATTATTTCATGTGTTTTAACGCACGAAAAAATTTAATAGAAAAACCTAACGAATTCGTTGGAAAATTCTATTGGATTTCTACCGACCTTTCTATTAGTTTTTTTGCCCATTCTATTCTATTTAATTCGATTTTTCTATGTGACTTATTCTCTTCAGATATTTTCTATAGAATTTCCTCGACTCAATTTTTCCAAGTTTTTTTTTCGTTGTATTTTTATTTCCTTCTCGTCAAGAAAATCAAAACAAAAAATTGGAAAATTTGAATCGAAAAATTTCTACAGAAAATATCTCAAAAGAATGAGTTATATGGAAAAATCGAATTCCAGTAAATTTTCTATTGAATATTTTCTATTGTACATTTCAATAGAATCAAATCAGATAGAATTTTCTGACAAATTCGCTAGGTTTTTCTATTATTTTTTTTTATCCGTGTTTTAATGAATTTTTATAGTAAACAGTCAATAGATGTTGAATTTTCTGAAACACGTATGAAAAAATTCAATAGAAAAACCTACCAAATCCGCTAGACAATTCTATTGGATTTTCATTGAATTTTCTATTAGTTTTTGGCCGATTCTATCGGCCAAAAGTCAATTGAATTCGATTTTTCTAGACAACTTATTCAATTGAGATATTTTCTATAGAATTTCGTCGGGTCAAATTTTCCAAGTTTTTTTGTTTCATTTTCTTGATGAATGAAAATTCGACAGAAAATATCTCAATAATTTGTATAGAATAATCGAACCGTATTTGAACTGCATAATCGACTTTTTTCATAGAATATTTTCCACTAAACATTTCAATAGAATTGGTCAAAAACTAGTAGAAAGTTCAATAGAAAACCAATAGAATTTTATATCATATATAGTGAAAATATTGGATAGATATCTCTAGAGAAAAATGTCCAAATTTTTTTTTCTGTAGAAATTTTTTTCAGATACCAAAAAAACCACTTAGACATTTTCCTGATGACATTTACTCGTGGGATCTTGTTTACGAGATAATTCTCAATTTATTGAAATTTTGCATAATTTCACTCACTTTGATTATTAATTGTTGAACGGTGTTCTAAAGACACTCATCACAGAGATTCTTGGTCAGAATTACCCAACTGACCAAGATCTCAATGATCATTGATTTCATCTATGCATTGTTCAATTAGTTGTTTAATTAAAAATATCAAGAGGTGTTTCATCTTGAAACAGTTAATTGTAAAGATATTTTCAATGCTAAGAAAACGGAATGAATCGACTCATCACATGTCACCACTTGAACCCAAAAATAATAATTTCTTTCCATACAAATGATGTTTTCTTCATTTATTCATCGAAATTACTTCATTAGGACAATATGCAGTGCATAAAAAATTGTTAAAAAAGTACAATAGCCCGTTATATAAAATATGAAATTCTTACAAAAGTATATCAACCTTCTACCAATCAAATACATCTGTAAACGCATGTAAAATTACGCCGTTCCAGTTATTCATCGATTACAATATAAAAATTTGTATTTTTATCATGATTGGAGTATGAAAAATTTGTGCGGGGAGGGAAGAAATCAGTATCCAAGTGTGAAGTGAAACGAGATGAGCAATTACCCTAGAAACCCTTCCAGGCAGTTTTTTTAAAATATTTCGAAATTGACAAGAGCTATCGAAATTTTCATCAAGAAATTTTTTAACACTGTTAATTTGCTCAAGAAAAAAACTCCTCATGAGAATCTTCATACCTCGGTCAGGTTTAAAGATGTTTATCGAGAGCAAAAATATTCTACAGTTGAATTGATTTGTCCATCCATGTGCATTTATCTCAAGATCATTTTTGTAGATTTTTCAATTCTACGTTTTTGTTTTTATAAAAATTCCCCCATCTCCTTCTCATTCACAGATGTTTACGAAAAATAAATCTCTTCTGCAGTTGGATTGGTATCTCTTTTCGAGTGGATCTATGTTCACTCCATTTTCAGGGAATATCTCGAAATTGATAAGAGATCACACGATTGTCGTTAAAAAATCCAAATTATCAAATTTTTCATGAAAAGGTCTCAATGAAATTCTCCAATCTCGGATGATGCAGAGTCAATAACATTTATGAAAAACTGACTCATTCCAGAAATTCAACTCCATTCAAATATCTCGAAAATGATAAGAGATAGTCAAATAATCCTGAGGATTTCTGTAGCTCTTTAAAATTCCGAAAAAAAGATTTTAATGAAAATTCTCTCATTTCTTTTCCCTTCAAAGATTCCTGTGAAGAATGAATGCCTTCTGTAGTTCAATTGATTTTTCTTTTCGAGTGGAGTTATTTCGACTTCATTCTTAGGGAATGTCTTAGAATTCATAAGAGGAAACGCAATTTTCATCATAATCTTTTCTGTGGCTTTTTGAATTCTTTAAAAAGGTTTCAATGGAAATTCCTCAATTTTCCTCAGGTTCAAAGATATTTTTTAAAAATCCACATGTTCTGCACTTGTATCGTTAGCTGGATTCATTTTGAAATTAAATTTCTTTCAAATCTCTTGAAAATGATGAGAAAGCAAACGAGTCCAGTGGAACTTTTCTGTAGTTCTTTAAAATTCTGGAAAAAGATTCCAATTAAAATTCTCTTATTTCTTTTCTCTTCAAAGATGCTTGTGAAGCATGAATCTTCTGTAGTTGAATTGATTTTTCTTTTCGAGTGGAGTTATTTCGACTTCATTCTTAGGGAATGTCTCGAATTCATAAGAGGAAACACAATTTTCTCAATGGAAATTCCTCAATTTCCCTCAGAATAAAGACATTTATTAAAAAACAATATGTTCTGTACTTGCATCGTTAGCTGGACTCATTTCGAAATTCAGTTTCTTTCAAGTATTTCGAACATAAGAGAACTAAATAGCCCAGCACACCTTTTCTGTAGCTCTTTAAAATCCCAGAAAAAAGATTTCAATTAAAATTCTCTTATCTCTTTTCCATTCAAAGATGCATCGAATCTCTCCTGTAGACGAACAGATTTTTCTTCTTGAGTGGAGTTACCTTAACTTCATTTTCGGACAATATCTCAAACATTATAAGAGGAAACACAATTTTCCTAATAACCTTTTTTCTAGCTTTTTAAATTCCGCATAAAAAAATTTCCAATGAAAATTCCCGAATTTCCCTCAGGTTCAAAGATATTCGTCAAAAACAAATCTGTTCCGTATTTGCATCTTCAGGTAGACTCATTTTGAGACTCAGTTTCTTTCAAATACCTCGAGAATGATAAGAGATAGCGAAATTGCCTTCGAGACTTTTTTGTAACTCTTCAAATTCTCTGCAAAAAATGTTTGAATGAAAATTCCCTCATTTTCCTCGCATTAAAAAATATTCATGAAAAAAAAAATCCATCATTGGTTTGACTTCACTCATCTCATTTTATTCCATTATTTGTTACTGAAATGACCTTATTAATTCAATTTCCTGCGCATTTGTGGTATTGGATGATTTAAGAAGACCCTGGGATTCATATAAAAATACGCAGATCCATCAAATTGCACCAATTCCGTTGGGATAAATACTGGCCATTCGGGCAGTTTTTTTGACAGCCTTTTTTTTCGCAGTGACAGTTAACTTTCATGTTTTTCGTCCTTTCTTGATTCAAAAACTTCTAAATAACGTTTTTTACCATTAATAAGCGAATTTAAATAATTTCACCGACACTTTTGTCCTTGTTGTGGTGTTCGCTAACGCTCAAACGCGATGAATTGCCTTTTCTTCGCGTTTTTACACTTTTGCTTGTGGTAACATATTTGTAAATCATTAAGACGTTAGATAATTGAAAAGAAATATGAAAATGTCGGGCAAACGCTTCGATGATTCTTAATACGATGGTGGAACGTTTAAGCTGCTATTTTCTCTTCGGCGATAGCTGAAAAAAGAAATTTCGTTGTTACTAACGAGTTTTTGTTTGTCAAAGCATTACTAAGTGAATATAATTCGCTAATTGTTTCGGTAATTGTTGATTTTATCAAGAAATGTCGAAAGATTGGTGGGAAGAATCTTAGTAAGAGCTACAAAAAATGTCACTTCGCGTTTTTAACTTTTTTTGTAGTTGAATCGCTCATGTACATGATAATTATTAAATTAAAAATGTATTTGTAGGCTTATTCTAGTTCGGATGGTTAATTATGTCGTTACAGAATTCTTGGAAAGCTAAATCCTAAAGACGAAAGATTCTAAAGGGAAAAGTCACAGGAACCCTGGGAAATTATTAGGCAATTATTCCTCTTACAATAATTCTCATTCTCTAGGTTAAACATCGGCATAATCGAAATTTTGAGTTACAGTTAAATTTTGAATAAGTCAATTGTTAATATTACTCATCAATTTTTTTATTTTAAAAATAACCATCAATTGAAATATTCAAATTCCGAATTATTTTACCAGTCATCAACTTAAATAGTCAAATTCGAATTTTTTTATCAACCAATAATTGAGTATTTAAATTAACAATTATCACGTTGCGTATTATTGTACTACCGGCCGACCCTTATAGGAATTTCTGCGTGTCACACGCCGAGTGTCACATGCAGCGTGAGACGCTGCGTATTGTACTAGTGGTCGACCCTTATATGAATTTCTGCGTGTGACACGCTGCGTGTGGTAGTGCGAATAGCCACGGCGTTTTTTTTATTCGTTCACTCATTTCAATTCCAAAAAATTCTTTTTGATATTTTTACCTGAGATCACTCATTCCCTAGATAATTGCCCCATTTCAGAACAAATATACCAATCGATCTCGTTTTTGAGCCGTTTTTGACATTTGTTGTAATTAAAATGCTCAATTATGAGATTATCTTACTGATAAATCATTCTAGGAAGGAGAGTTTTTTATAAAATGACTCATTTCCTACATAATAAACTGATTGAAAAAAATGTCAATCAATCTTGTCTCTTATCAATTAGTCACGTAATTATCTCCATAACGGGTAATTCTATGAAAAAAAAGTTTCTATTTGGACGAAGAGAGCAGTAAATTTTTTGTAGGAAAAACATTTTCCTGCAGAATAACTTCTCAAGACATTAAACTCCTAACATCACTCATTACTGATAAACAATTAATTGGAAAAAGATTTCGTCAAGTTAACTTTTCAATTCAGCGAAATGGTAAAACGCTTTAAGTCGACTTATCTCTTAGTTGAGTTTTTGAAGAATATCTCCGAATGTAAAGGAGATAATGAAATTTTCGTAATAAACTTTTTTCTAGAGCAAATTGAGTGCTACAACAAAGGTCTTGACGAAAATTTAGCTATCTCCCTTAGATTCCGCGGTATTCACTAAAAATTGGCTAATAGTCAAAATCGACTTGAACCGTTTTACCACTTCGCTACTGAATTAATTTATTCCTATCGCTCACCCTCTTTGGTTGGCAAGGGATTCTTCTCCAGTGTCTCAGCGTGCTTCAGCTGGGCTGGATCAAAGTTCTCGATCCCGGAAATGAACTGCTGCTTTCCTTTCTCCTGCTCAATAGCTAAACATCCCAAAGAAACGATCAAGAAGTTATTCAAAAGCTGTTTCAAGTTTCTGCAGAATTAATGGCTCACCGGTCTTGTCGGGAAGGGGATTCTTCTCCTCAGTTTTTGTGTGCTTCAGCTTGGTCGTATCGAACGCCTCGATACCGGAGAGAAGAGTCTGCTGTGTTTTCTCAGCAGCAACGTCTGTTGAAACAGGTCAATGAACGAATTTCTAGCAATTTCTGGAGATAGGTGAATTCGACGTGTCCTAATGAGGAACTCGTCTCTCAAAGGGGCTATTCAAATGTTACGTCACACGATTGTGAAGCTTTGTAACGAAGGGAGGGAGGGACTGCTGATGTTGTGATGTCACATCATTTTTTGTTTTTTTTTTGGTTTTACTGTTTTTTATTTTTAAGGCCCGGATGGATCACCTTTCGAACTTTATGTCGATTGTTTTTCCATCTTTACAATCTAAAGTATATCACAGATTTCATTGGAAATTTGTCAATTAAACTGTGTGAGAAAATTTTGAAAAAAATCATGAATATTCAGCAGCGTTAAAATTACATTTTGCACAGAATTATAATTTTTTTAAACATTTGACGTTTATATATGAGTAATTGAAATTGTTGAAATTTTCGGAAACCTTATTCTTTTAGACATAAAATCGATGTCTGGTAATATTCTGAATATAAATAAATTTGGTATGATTCCGAACAAATGTTTTTTGTAGTGGAAAATTGATTGTTTATAAATTATTCGTAATTTCCAAAAATTGCAATTTTCTAATTGTTTCATCAATCTTTCTCCAAAAGTAAACTTTCTAATTTTTTTCAGATTTTCCAAATGTTTTCTAATGGTTCAATATCAAGATTCAAATTCAGACTTGTAAAGTTTAAATAATAGAATCATTGTAAAATGTTCGAAAACGTAGTGCCAAATGGGGCTCAAATGAAAGCTCTGAATTTCGACTACAAAAGTATAAAAGCATTTCACTGGAGAAAAAATCGCTAAAGTACTTGAATATCTTTAGTCCAGAAAATGGCCAATCAAATTCTTTTTTTTCGTCCCCTTTCCTCACGAAAAAAGAGATTTCAAAAATTCAAAGATTGCTTAAAAAGGAATTTTGGAATGCTGTGATGGCAACAATTTAATAAGTTACGAAACGGCCTTTGCCTTTTTTCCTTATTTTCATTTTTCAAATTCAATTATATGGAAAAAATGAAAAAAAAAATCGCAATAAGGGAAGGAGGTGGAAGGGGGTTCGTGTTTGTGACGGAGGGAATCTAAAAAGTAAAAAAAACGTGAAGTAATATTTGACTAGCCCCAAAGCATAATTCTGACAAGACGTATCTGAAGTTTTAAATAAAAAAAACACTTCAACTTCCAATTCCGAATCCATTTTATATTACACTCTTCATTATTTTTCAATGTTTTCAAATTTGAGATTTTTTAACGTAAAATAATTTTGAATAATTCTAAATGTTAGGGGAGGGTCGGGCAAAATGGGACGCATTGAGATCTTTTCCAATTGTTAATATGTTTATATATAAGTGAAGATATTGACAATCAGAGAAGATCATGAAACGTCCCATTTTGCCCGTCTCTCCCTAATAATTGTCAATGAAGTTCATTCAAGATCATATGTAGCGTAATCGTCCCAAATTCTACAATAGAGCTGAGCTTGACCACCTGTGAATGACTTTCCTGGAGAAATACCCTCCTAAAAAAAAATTCTTGTCGCAAAAAAATTATTCCTTGGCCAAAGTAATTTTTTTTCTCAATGTACATTTCAGTAGCGAAGCGGTAAATCGAGTTAAGTCGATTTTGACTCTTGGCCAGTTTTTGACGAATATCTCGGAATCTAAAAGAAATAGAAAATTTTTGTCATGACCGTTTTATAGCTCTGAATTGGTTCCACAAAAAAGGTCATGAGAAAAATTTTGCTATCTCTCTTAGGTTCTGAGATATTCATCAAAAATTGATCAAAAGTCAAAATCGACTTAACTCGGTTTACCGCTTCACTACTGATTTGTATATTCACTGGGGCATTCACCTCACGTGGATTCAGTCTGCAAATTTGAGATGAGTTTTTTTAAAGAATATTCTCTTCAGATACGTGTCTCTCCGCACATCACGACGAATTAATCTAGACGAATAGTAATTAAAAGACTATAAGCACCGACACCACTGCGACCTGTACCAGACGTATTAATGACTAGACAAGACTAGACTAATCGATTTAATTTGCAATTCAACGAAATAAAAAGCCGTTAGTCCCCGCTAAAACGAAACCCTGAAATATAAAAATGACTTCTCTCCTCTCGAGGTGGCTTATACCTTTTGCATTTGGCAATACTATTTTTTCTTTCGTATCTGCGTGCTTCAATTTTCCGGTTTTAAACGTCTCCACGTCGTGAATCAAGTCTGAATGCTGTCGTTCCTGTCGTACGTCTATATTTATATTTGAGAAGACATCAGATGACGGATAAAATCATAAAATAAAATGATAAATTAGGGAGAAGTGGAGTGAAGTAATGGGAGATGAGGATTGATTCGTGGGTCTGGGGTCATTACCTTCTGCGGATGGCAGGACGTCTTTGACGATGGTGGGCGCCTTCTTCATGCAGTCGTGTTTGAAGCCCTCGAGCTCGCTCTTCAGGTCGAGCGAGACCTTGGGGAGGTCCTTCAACGATGGGCTCACGGGGTTTGACATGTTTTTATTTGATTAATCTGGAATTTTTAGAGGTACAGAGGATTTTATTGAAATTGCGCTTGGAATTTGTGACGTCAAAAAAACAATGCACGATCGATTTCTCCCAAATTATTCGATATTGGGGTTGATGGGGGGAAACAAGAGGTGAATAACACTTTTAGAACGTTTTTGGGAATAGTCCTGGGGGGGCGAGGGCCAGGGAGCAATGTTACGGGGAGACTATTAGGAGTTTTAAAAGTCGCGGGCTATTCGAATGAGATTGCTCATACATTGGAGATCCATTATGTATGTTTAAAAAAGAATAATTAGTGCAAAAATATTTATTCAGTAGCGAAGGGGTAAAACGGTGCAAGTCAATTTTTTTATTATTGACCAGTTTTCAATGAATATCTCGGAATCTAAGGGAGATGGCAAAATTTTTATTGAAATGTTTTTTGTAGAGCCGACTAAGAGCTACAATAAATGTAATGACGAAAATTTCGCTGTCTCCCTTAGATTCGGAAATATTCCTCAAAATCTCAACTGGGAGATGAATCTTAAACCGTTTTACCACTCCGCTATTCAATTTTTTATTGCTCGTTTGCCCTATACACACTTAAAATGTTAAACAATAGTCCAGGGCCTCCTATTTTTGAGCTACAGATGTTTTTGGAAATATTTTTGAAAAAATTGTGCAATAACAATTACGAGCTAATTTTTTTGAAATTTAACTTCTACACAATAGCTAATTCCATGTTTTTAAATATAAAAATTGGACTATCCATGTAAAATAGAATAATGTTTCCATAAGAATTGAGAATATATTTTAAATATTTCAAGGATTATTTTTCTCACTCGGATTTTAGCCAATTAGAGCGCAGTATTTGAGGTTGTCAAACAGTTTTATTTCGGAAATTTCTAAAAAATTTCCGAAAGACCACCAGAAACATACATAATATGTACACACACAAAAAAAAAAACTCATTCATCATGATTCATCATGAATCAAACAGAAGTACGGTTGGAAAAAGGAATGCTTCGCGGATTGTCTAAGGAATTGTACTCCTGTTGAAAATTCTGATAATTTGTCGCCCATTAATTGAAAATATTTTGTAGGAAAAATCGATGGATTTTAATTTTTTTATGAAGCCTCTAATGTGACATTATCTACAGAAAATTCCTCAGCATCAGTTTTTGAATTTTCTTCCGATTGTATTTTTCTATTTATCTCATTAAAAAACATTTTCTAATTCTCATGAAAAACTTGATCAAAAAATTGAAAAATTCGAGCAGAGGAATTTTCTAAAAACATTCTCAACTGAAGAAGTTCCATGGAAATACAAAAGTCAATCGATTTTTTCATATGATATCTTCTATTAAACATTTGAATTTAAGAAATATCAGAAAGCTGCAGAATTTTTCAACAGAATCGACGAAAAACTGACAGATATTTCGGTAAAAATTTAATAGAATGTTATCGCAAAAGTGCTAGTGCTGATTCATCTCTCAATTTTTTTCCTGCGTGAAAATTTCCCATCACATTTTTTCCCAAATCCTCTCGATCTCGGAATATCCTCAAAATAATCTGCAGACAAATCCCCAAATTTCATTGATCACTTCAAGAATCCCAGATTTAGGAATGAGGAAAAAGCGTTTTGAAATTATCAAATCAGATATCCTCAGCCCCAAGTGCGTTTTATCCTCACCGGCCACAATCGTATTACAAGGAAGAGCCGAAGGGAAGTCCGAGGCCGTAAAATTCCGGACGAGTAACGGCACCCGCCCGCGACTCGCTCGGTGGGTAGAAGTTGCGCAGCCAGCACTTCCGTCTCTCGCCCCTCCACATATGCCTATTTTTTTCCCCCTGCAGGACGAGTACATTGTCCGTAACGGCGCGTCTGAGCCTCTAAATTCATTTCTGAATTAAATTCCCATTGAATTTCATTTTTTCAGTCCAATGACTACTTATCGGGCATTATCGATCCTCTGGGGACACCTGACACCCGGATATTTCATAGTCTAGATGATGATCACAATGAGGCTATTGTCTTTGTCCACAGGCAGTTGTATCATTCATAGAATGAAAAACGTCCGACGCCGTTGGTGGGAATTTTTTTTATTGGGGGAAAAACAGTGAGGTATTGCTCACTTCGTAATTAGACACTCTCATCCCTGACAATTAAAGACGCAGGGAAGGAAAATGCCTCTGGTAAGAGATGAGGGATGGCCCAGGATAGGCCGATGATGGCGCAATGTTGGCTAGCGCCGCGGCAACTACACGGAGAAAATATTCACTTGTAATACCACAAGAGCTTCACAATTATCGGGTATTTTCCGATAGGTTCGTTGCAGACCAACGAAGGAGTCAAGTTTTCCAGGCTAAAAAATCACGAGTGCGAAGCACGAGTGATTTTTCCTGAAAAACTTGACGACTTTGTTTGTATGCAGGGAACCTTGAGAAAAATGCCAGATTAATTTTGAAGCTCGTGTGGTATTCGGGGGATTATTTTTCCAATCAAATGTCGGGCAGTATAATTGGACCATGAGACGAAACTCACAATTGAGAAACGAAAATTGTATAATTAACACAACGACACAATTGAATTCAATCTGTCAGCTTGACGAGGGGTTAATCCGACTGCATGATGTTTTGTTTTTTATATAGCAACTACCAGGGAAAATTATCAAAAAATTATCAGTTGAAAACCCTGTAGCTTGTACCACGTGATGTCGAATGGGCCAATTATATTGCCCGATATTTGGGTTGGAAAAATAATTACTTGTAATACCACAAGAGCTTCAAAATTATCGGGCATTTTCCGATAGGTTCGTTGCATACAAACGAAGGAGTCAAGTTTTCCAGGTTAAAAAATCACGAGTGCGAAGCACGAGTGATTTTTCCTGAAAAACTTGACGACTTTGTTTGTATGCAGGGAACCTTGAGGAAAATGCCAGATTAATTTTCAAGCTCGTGTGGTATTCGGGGGATTATTTTTCCAATCAAATGTCGGGCAGTATAATTGGACCATGAGACGAAACTCACAATTGAGAAACGAAAATTGTATAATTAACACAACGACACAATTGAATTCAATCTGTCAGCTTGACGAGGGGTTAATCCGACTGCATGATGTTTTGTTTTTTATATAGCAACTACCAGGGAAAATTATCAAAAAATTATCAGTTGAAAACCCTGTAGCTTGTACCACGTGATGTCGAATGGGCCAATTATATTGCCCGATATTTGGGTTGGAAAAATAATTACTTGTAATACCACAAGAGCTTCAAAATTATCGGGTATTTTCCGATAGGTTCGTTGCAGACCAACGAAGGAGTCAAGTTGTCCAGGTTAAAAAATCACGAGTGCGAAGCACGAGTGATTTTTCCTGAAAAACTTGACGACTTCGTTTGTATGCAGGGA